AGATTGAAGACAAGATCCTACTGCCATTCAGTTATGTGGAAGAAGTCCACTACTGCGAGGACCTCAAAATCAATAGTACTGCAACAAAAAGGATATGTTAGCTTCATTAAAGAAATGATGATCTTTGTTTTAAAAGTGTAGGATCCTTCAGTCAGTATACATCCCCTTGATAACAGATGGAGTACAGAAAAGGAGATGGTAGACTCTCTATTATGCCTCTGTCTCCCTTCGACAGAGCCATGAGTAGGGTTTTCTACTACTGAATGACCATTAGCTGCCAATCCAGGGTCTCGTGTGCCATCTGCCATCTTTTAAATGGGGTAATGCATTTAAGGGATAGGCAGCTGAGTTATCTTTAAATTCATTCATGATTTGTAAGTCTTGCTAACTGGATCAGCATTTATTGCCCATCCTTAATTGTTCTCAAGAAGGTGGTGGTGTCCTTTGGAAAAGTTACAGTCCATTTGCTGTAGGTAAGCCCACAATGCCATGCCAGACAGAGCTCCAGGAATATGATGGAGCAACACTGAATGAACATTGATATACTTCCAAGTCAGGATAGTGGGTCGCTTACAGGGGAACTTGCAGGTGGTTGTGTTCCTATTATCTGCTGCCATTGCCCTTCTAGTGGTCGTAGGTTTGGAAGGTGCTGTCTAAGAAGCCATGATGAATTTCTGCAGTGCACTTTGTAGATGGTATGCACTACTGATGTTGAGCATCAGAAGTGGAGGGAGTGGATGTTATGTATGTGGTGCCAATCAAATGAGCTGCTTTATCCTAGATGCTGTAAAGCTTTTCGAATGGTCTTGGAGCTGCATTTATCCAGGCAAGTAGGATGCATTCCATTACGCTCCTGACTTGTGCCTTGCAAACGGTGGATAGACTTTGAGAAATCAGGAGTTGGTTAATGCAGGAGTCTTAGTTGCTGATCTGCTTTTGTAGCCACGGTATTGAAATGGCTAACCCTGTTCAATTTCTCAATGGTAACTTCCACAACTTCAGTGATTGTAATGCCATTCAATGTTGAGGGGTGATGGTTAGATAATCACTTGTTGGAGATGCTCATTGCTTGGCAGTTGTGAGTTGCCACTTGTCAAGTCAAACCCAGATACTGCCAAAGTCTTGCTGCATTTGGACACAGACTGCTTCAGCATCTGAGGAGTTCCAGTGAAGGGAGGAGAAAGAGTGCAACCAGAAGTATTATAAGAACCAGCAATCTGTTGACAGGCCGTTCTGTTCCACTTCTTTCTGTCACCCAGTTCCTTGCTAAATTCCAAGCTTTGAACTCTGTGCCAGGCAGTTTTAGAAAGAAAGTGTCACCAGCGATGAAAGCACAATTTAACTGAAACATAATTGAACAAGTCATATAAATTCCATGGCTACAAGCAGAGGTCAAAAGTTGGGTTTTCCGTGGCAAGTTACCAACCTCCTGACTCCCCACAGATTTTCCAACATCTATGAAGGCACAGCTGGAATACTCTCTGCTTGCTTGAATGTCTGTAACATGTAGGATAAAACAACCCATCTGAGTGGCATTCCATCTACAATTTTAGATATTCACGCTTTCCATCACCAGAATTCAGTGTTTGCAGAACGTGATACACCGCAGCAACTCACCAAGGCTTTGCCAACAAATCTCACAAATCCATGAATTCTACCAACTAGAAGGACAACAACAGGTGCATAGGAACACCACCATCTGCTTTTCCTCCAAATGAGCATAACTTTGAAATTTATCACTGCTCCTTCATTATCGCTTCACTCGGTTAAAATCCTAAAATACCCCACCCAACAGCATAGCAAAGTACCTTCACAAGAACTCGGTGATTCAAAAAAGTTGTTTCACCATCAGCTTCTCCAGGACACTTAGGAATGCTAGATAGGTTCTTAATTAGTAAGGGGATCAAGAGTTACAAGGAAAAGGCAGGAGAACGAGGTTGGAAAACATATCAGTCATGACTAAATGGTGGAACAGACTTTATTGGCCAAATGGCCTAATTCTGCTCATTTCTTATTGTGTGTTAGGATCTGACTTTGCTAACAACACCCACGTCATTATTGTTATAAACAGTCTTGGCTCAAGTTACGTATGGGGATTTTAACTCTTACAGAGGCAGAATTAGAAGAATTCATCTATATCTCGTTAATCATCAGTACTCCTTTAAATTTATAACCACAACATGAAGCATTCAGTTCCTACATACCATAGCTGTTAAATTTGCACAACAGCATAAGTTAGCCATAAATATGAGAAAAAAAACTTCTTTTTGACATATTTCAATACACAAAAGAAACCTCTAATCATGCTTTCTCTGGATTGGTGATTTCACAGCTAAACCATAGAATGTTTGTCTCTAGCTCAGCCTCAAATAATTCATAGTATGTCTGATGCTTTGAGATATGATTAGATAAAAATGCAAATCTTTATGAAATAAATTGTTCAATATTAAATTATACTATTGACTGTGTATATTACAATTGCATCAATTATAATTTCCCCCATTATAGTAGCACCAGTCAGCCTGCAGTTTTAATCTGGAGTTTTCACATTAAGTTGCAAGTAATTCATTAGCTTGGTTTTCCTGTTCTCAGCTAGGCGGACATTTCTTTGTTAAATATTTTGAAGTTGATTTCACTGTTTGCAGTCCCTCTCTCCACTTTTAGAATTGTTCTTTTATTTGCACGCCCTACCCCCCACCTCTGCCAGCTTGCAGACATATTTCTCCTTTGCAGGTGTCTAGCCACATACCTCCTCTCCACCTCACTCCCTCCCCATTTCAGTCTCACTTCTCCACACAGCCACTGGCCTTATCTCGCAAGTCTTGCTCACTGTCTTCTTTCCTGTCCAGCTGCCTTGCTTCCTGCACTCCACCTTGCTGAATATTGCCAGTCAACTTGCTGCTTCAGTTACAAAGCTGGTTCTCTTCTGTATTTGCTGTTGATAGGTTTATAGTGAATCTATCAGTAAGTACACGAGACATCCAGCCTGTGACTGGAAAAGCAGTTCCACGCTGTTTCCTTTCATTCTCTTAATGGGGGTGATTTTTTTAATTAGTCGGCCTCACGATTGACTTCTCCCAGGTGTTTTTTTGGGGGAATTTCATGGCAACTTTACCCACAGGCTCCATTTATTTTCAATGTTGCCACAGTTTCAACATGCTTTGTTTGCTTTGTTTTCAAATCAGAAAAAATGGTAAAGATTCACATCGCTTGCTGCTCCTACAATCTAAAAACATTTAAACTAAGATTAATTGATTATTCAAAAACTGATGAATTTTTATATTCTATTGCATATTTTAAATAAGTAACGACATAGAAATTTCCTTTCTTGCTGCCAAATCACACTAGAGTCAACGTAAGTTGAACACTAGATCAAAGTTCATCTATAATCCATCAGGATGAATTTAGCAAATGAAAAATGAGTAGTAATCTTATACTAGGCTGTTCAGGTTACTTTGATATTTGAGGCTCGAGAGTATATTACCAGCTTCAACAGGTAGCCATGATGTGGAGGTGCTGGAGTTGGACTGGGGTGGACAAGGTCAAAAATCACATGACACCAAGTTATAGTCCAACAGGTTTATTTGAAATCACAAGCTTTCAAAACTCTGCTCCTTCCTCAGGTGTAGCGTGGAAGAGGAGGTATACCGACACAGAATTTATAAGCAGAAAGGTAACAACCCTAAAAATGGCTCACTGACTGCCTCCTGTTGAATCTTTAATCAGTTAGAAAGGAGGCGCAGGTTTCTACTGATTAAAATGCAAATCCTGGAATTTCTTTCAAGTCATTGCTCTGAGATAATTAAAGGTTGTATCAGTGTATACAAGAGGTGACATCTCAGTCATTTTAGGTGTGAGGCCTAGTTTAGAATCTGTCTGTATTTTAACCTGGAACCAGGCTGGTTATATTTTTTTGAACAAAATAGAATGTGTCTGCAAATACACAAACATCTTGGATGAAGATTTATATGTTTGTGTGAGTGTATGTGTATGTGAAAGAGTGTGTGTTTCTGTGTGAGAGAGTCTCTGCATGTGTGCTTGGGACAGTGTTAGCGTGTGTGTGTGTACACACCCTCACACATATACACTCTCTCTCAAGCGCGCACACACACACACAATCTGTTGGACTATAACCTGGTGTCAACTGACTTTTGAGCTTCAACTGGAGTACTGAATCCAGTTTGGAGCACTATGAGGAAGGTACAGAAGGAAAGCAGTAGAGAGGATACAGGACAATTTTATAAGAATGGTTCCGGAGCTGAGGAACTCCAGTTGCATTTTGGAGAATTTGGGAGCGTTTGCTTTATAGAGAAGCTGAGGAGAGATTTGATCCATGCATTCTCGACAGAGCTCTTGACAGACTAAATAAGAAATTATTTCCATTGGTGGGAAGATTGAGGACCAGAGAGTATAGATTTAAGGTAATTGGGCAAAGAAACAAAGGCATCAAAGGGATAATGAAACTTTACATTTACTCAGCAAGGAGTGTGGTGGATGCAAATCATGGAGGCATTCAAGAGGAAACTGACACAAAGATAGTAGGAACTGCCGGTGCTGGAGTCTGAGATAGCAAGGTGTGGAGCTGGATGAACACAGCAGGCCAGGCAGCATCAGAGGAGCAGGAAAGCTGATGTTTCGGATCTGGACCCGTCTTCAGAAGCGCATATTGTGTCAGTCGAACTGATGAGGGTCAGTCCCACACAGAGTCTACAGCTCGCTGACTGTATATTATGAGACCTGGCACTTTAAACAGATGACTACTACTGACAACAGGCTAGCCAGATACTGATGACATTTGCCTGAACTTTTATTTCACAATTGATTTTTAGCTCTAAATTGAAGTGACAAGATAGAATGTAGATGGAACTGAGCCAAACCAGTTTGAACAGATCCTGTAGTACTGCTTCACCAGACTTTGTAGTCATATCTCTCGTACTGCACACACATACACAGAAAAACATCAACTTCAAATGAATAAAGTCAATTAACTTGTGACATTCTTTCACTTAAAATATTTTTATTCAGAACTTATTATATTTACTGCTACATCAGAAATAAGGGATTTAACTGTACAGAAATTTAAAATTTTGTGGTTATACAATCTAAGAAAAATCAAAAGACTTAATATATCACATTTAGACAATATCAGCACAAACTGCCTTATATTAGGTGTATTGAAGGCCTTCCTTTTAGCCACCTAAGCACCACTCTTTTATATTTTTCCTTAAATCCCTGTGGCGCCACCTGCTTTGGCTGTTTTAAAGGCTCTTCTCAAAATCCAACTTTTTCACACTTCCTAATATGTTCTCTTCAGCTCAGCGTCCTTTGTTTTTTTTTTAAGTTTAATTATGTTTGCGTGAAACATTTTGGAAATCTTTCTGTATTAAAGAGGTCAAATAAGTGCAAGATGATGTTGTACTCTAATATTATAAATACAATGAACTGGCTCCCACCACTTTCACCTTTTTGCTCTGCTTCTATTTTATTAATTACCAGTTGTCCTCTAGCTTTCACATGATGGGAAGGAGACACAGCAACAGGCTGGGCTGTCAGGTGTAGCCAGGTACTCCTCTGAAATCTCACACTGACTAGTTTCCACATCCTGTCTACTGCCCCTTGTTGAACAGGAAAACTCTTTGATACCAATTAAGAGTGCATCCTGGTCAAAATTCCAATGGGCAGCAGCTGTGCAACACATCTTCCCAAATCATCCTCTGATGGGAACAGTTTCATCCCACATGCTAATGATGGATGATGAGTCACTCTTCATTGGTTCCAAGACAAATGATTTAAGTTAACCTAATTGCACTGATTTCAACAAATTAGTGGGATGTCTCCACATCGCTGAGTCTTGATAGAGAAGTTCAAGCAACAGATTCAGTACAAATTAGCATCGATCGCAATAACGCTCAAACTTAGTTTCAATTCGTAAATATTCTGCATGGTACAAGATGGCAGATTTTAAACTGACTGCTAAATTGTTACCCCAAAGTCTGATTTTATTTTCCCTTATTAAATAAAACTGACATTCAGCGAGCACAAATGTAGAAACAAAAAAGAGAGAATTCCCACACAATGTTATAAGAGCATTTTGAACTTTATTTGCCTCTGTAACCATCAATGTAGTTCATGTACAAGCTTTATGAATATCTCGAATCATTTGATTGGTAAAAGAAAATATATAATGCACAGTAGGATTGTGTGCATTGCAACATTGTACAACATTGAAGATAATAGGTTACTATTTATTAAAAACTGAACATATCCAAATTTCACTGGCAGGAAAATGTCTGTTTATGTTAAGTATTGTACACATGTCTTGTCAGATGAGAAATTTGTCAAATAAGATGATGTAGAATACTTTTCTCTGGTCCTAAGGCATCTTGTGTAAAGTCTGTACTGAAAACAACAAATGTTGGAGATCACAGCGGATCATGGAAAGACAGCAAGCTAATGTTTCGAGTATGAATGACTCTTCATCACAGGCTGTTCAGACAGTCTGGGTAAATCACATTGTATTCGTGTAAAGAAGTGGCAGTAAATTTGGAATGCACATCCATTGAAGATTTCAATTAGTAACAGTCTGAAAGGTTTGAATGCGATGTGCAATATTTAAGCTAGATGAACCAAGTACTTTTATTCAATGGTGAAAATGATGGACAAGTACTTAATCAGAACTACAGTTTGGCTTTTTTTATTCTGAATAAAATCAGAATGAATGTTTTTGAAAGGATAATAGACAACATCAGTGTTTTTTTTTGTTCTGGTTGACTCCCAATAAATTTCGAAACTATTAGAAAGAAGTCTAACATTGCTGACTGCTTATAAGATCAAACTAGATGGTCATGATGCTAATAGTAACCCACTGTATGGCTGCTTATATTTGATCATCTTTAAACTCAGGTGGCACAAGATTAATTTACTGTGAAATTGATTTTAATATTTTCTAAGTTTCATTTATTATTGAACTTGTTTTGTGAGATGTGCTTACACAGCAATCCCACTGAATCAAAAAGGTTATGCACAAGTGAGGCAAATGGACAGGTCTAACAGTTATAAATTCCCATTTAACAATGGTATTTTAAGCAGGATTTGACTACTGCTTTCTTTGGAATAGTTCAAAGAGAGTATTATAACATACATTCATAAACAAAGAAGATGTGTAAGCAGCAAGACACACATGACATGTATGTTTAGATGTAAATAACAAATCAAATAGATGCTTAATTAAACAGTGAAAATTTTTACCTTGTCATTTTGTGTTGCAATTAGATCCGTTCATAGAAAGTCAAAGCTGTAATGTATTTGTCTTCTCTTAATTAGATTTGTTCTAGCGTTCTTAATTAATGTTTGCAGAGGCAAATATTAGATTTGACAAGCTGACAGCATTAGAAGAATACAAAAAAGCTTTTGCATTTATTGAAAGGATTCGAGATCTGAAATGTCATCTGCTTCATTGCTAAGATAACAGTTGTTCCAAAAGATTTTCTACTGAAATAATGTAGCAAAATTACCTGAAACTATTTTACATAGATCTTTCCAACTGGCATCCAGTATACCCAAAGTCATGGTACAATGATCTATCAATCACCTTGCTGTTACCATCATTTTAAAAGTGACTAATATGCACATTTGCCAGAATTTTATGCGCAGATGGTTGCCCTGTCCTTGGCTTAAACAAAAAAATTAGGGCAAGCCCGCTTTCACCTGGTCAGCTCACCACGCAGCCATTTTACAGCTTGTCAGATTGTTAACTGGCTTGAAACAAATGTCTCCTCCATCTGGAAATCCCAACTCAAATCTGCCTGCCAAAGAAACGGTAGTGCTGGCACTGCATCCAGTCCCTGAAGAACAGACGGCATTGACTTAGCAAGGGGCAACATGGGGTGGGGTCTATCCCTGGGCCTTCACTGGGCAAAGGCTTTCAAGGACTAAATCCCTGCCCAATGATTAATTGCTTACCTACCTGTTTACTGTTATGTATGTATGTATGTGTGTGTATTACTTACAAGTGTGTGTGACAGAGAGAGAGATGCACATACGTATGTGTATATATATATATGTTTGTGTGTGTTGTGTGTACAGAATTGCAGCCTTGAAATTTCACAGCAAAGCTTGTTGCCTGGTGAAAACTTTGTCACAGTGACTTATGAATGTACATCGTGAGCTGTAAGCTTGCAATATTCAACTTTGCGAGTTAAAGCAAAAGTTCAAAAACAAAATTGCTAACATTTTACTTTACCCCTCCCCACTCCCAATGCCCAAGATTCACTTGTGGCTTAACATGCAAATTTTCTCCATAAATTCAGCATCATACGAGTTCCACTGAAGTGATCTTTTGTCACCAAAAGAGAATCCACCTAGAAAATAAAGTGAATTTTTAAGTTTTCAGCGATCAGATTTGATCTTAACTGTATGTAAAATAGGAATAGTTGCATGAAAATGTATTGCAAATTGCTAAGTTCAGAAAGGTATTTGGTAGATGGGAGCTTCCATACAGTTGCTCCAATTTTAAATATTAAAGAAGTTATGAAAGGTAGACATATTTCCAGAAACTCAAATAAATCAAATTGACAGGAAACGCATCTTAGAAATCTTCCATAATATCAAAATTATATTCCCCAGGGAATATGAAAAAGGGCATAATAAAGTTACAAAGAGTATAAGCAAAATAATTTAGTGCATTTCTACTTTAGAATAAAGTTGCCCTTTTATAAAAAAACTTCATTTATAAACATTGTAATTTAATTAGGTTGCTAACTTTCAAAACCTTGTCTGGCCAGGCATTTCATGGAGAAATACAAGTAAATGAGGAATTCTTTGTTTCTTCTGTCGTACAGGATTCTCTTAGCAGGGACTGGGAAATGAGGTCAGGTATGTATTACCTTGGAGGTAATAAAAAGCATGACTCCTAGATGAGCCTATCGACAATAACATGTAAAAAGACTGTTTTAAACATTATAAACCTGGACTTTGATAATCAACTTCAGAATATTCTTGGAGAGGAATGCTAAGAGGAAGTCTTTGAGAGGGGACATGCTACTCGAGACATATGATTTGAAAGTGTAGTGCTTGCCCAGTAGTATACTGAATGCTTATTCACTCGTTACTGGTTTATTAAGGAAGATCTTTGTACTTTAACATTTAATTCTCAAATGTCTTTTATAACTATTAAATGAGTTTACTTGGTCTCACAATAAGTGTATATCTAATCTGACTGTAGCCTCAAATCCACAATCACATCTACCTGTGATAATCCTTTCACCTTTTGTTAACCAAAAATCTATCTATCTCTGCTTTAAAAATATTCAAGCACTCTCTTTTTCACCATCTTTTTCAGGAAGGGAGTTTCAAAGAGCATCTAGAATCAGAGTCATAGAGTCGTACAGGATGGAAAAAAACCCTTCAGTCCAACTTGTTGTGCCAACCAGATATCCTAAATTAATGTAGTCCCATCTGCTAGCATTTGACATATATCCCTCTAAACCTTTACTGTTCATTTACCCATTCAGATGCCTTTTTAAATGTTGTAGTTGTACCAGCCTCCAGATCTTCCTCTGGGAATTTGTTCCAAACACACATCACCCTCTGCATGAAATGTTGCCTCTCAAGTCCCTTTTAAATATTTCCCTTCTCACCTTAAAACTAAGCCCTCTAGTTTTGGACTGCCCTACCCCTGGGGAAAAGACTTGGGCTATTTACCCTATCTATGCCCCACATGATTTTATAGACCTCGACAAGTTTACCCCTCAGTGTCCGATGCTCCAGGGAAAAAAGTGCCAACCTGTAACTCAAACCCTCCAGTGTGGAAGTAGGCTATTCAGCCCATCTTCCAAAGAGCCTTCCACCCAGACCCTATCCCTGCATTTCCCACCCTAGACACCATGGGCAATTTAGCATGGCTAATCCATCTAATCTGCACATCTTTGGACTGTGGGAGGAAACCAGAACACCCGGAAGAAATCCACGCAGAAAATGTGTAAACTCCATACACTTAGTCTCCCGAGGCTGGAATTGAACCCTGGTCCCTGGCGCTGTGAGGCAGGAGTGTTAGCGACTGAGCCACCGTGCTGTCCAGTCCTGGCAACATCCTTGTAAACCTTTTCAAGTTTAACAACATTCTTCCTATAGAAGGGTAAGCAGAATTGTACGCAGCATTCTGAAAATGGCCTCACCAGTGTCCCGTGTAGCCGCAACACAACTTCCCAACTCCTATACTCAATATTCTTACCAATAAAGCCAAGTGTACCAAATGCCTTCTTCACCGCCCTGTCTACCTGCGACTCGCCTTTCAAGGAACTATGAACTTGCACCCCTAGGCCTCTTTGCTCAGTAACACTCCCAAGGGTCCTACCATCACCTCAACGTGTTAAATAGCCAACCCCATATTTGAAACAGTGACCATTTGCAATAATCATGGAGAGTGAGTGCAGAATTCTGAGGTCTAGAGTGATCTTGTACCTGTGCCATAACGAATTGATAGGCAGGAACATCAAGTAAATAGGAAAGATCATGGCATGTTATTCTTTTTAAGAGAGGAATTGAATGTAAAAGTGAGATTCCTGTACTTCAGTGGTCCAAGGCATCACTGAAACCATATTTCAAACACTGAGTGCAGCTATGGTCTACTTATTTAAGGAAGGATCTAAGTATGATGGAGGTGGTTCACAGTACATTTATGAGATTGATATCTGGAATAAGCAGATTGCCTTATAAGAATAATTCAACAGGTTGCGCTTGTTTTCACAGAAGTTTAGAAGAACAAGGGAAAGTGCTCTAGTGGTAGTGATCCTACCTCTGAAACAGGAGACCTAGGCTCAAGTCCCAGCTGTTCCAGAGATGTGTAATAACATCTCTCAGCAGGTTTGTTTCAAAATACTTAGAAAAGCATAGTGTGATTTCCTTGAAAATGTAGGATACTGGATGGTCTTGACAAGGCAGAAGTTGAAAGGAGAACCTTGTGGGTAAGTCCAGGACAAGGAGACATTGTTTTTACAATAGGGGTTCACTCTTTTAGAACTGAGATGAAGGCAATATTTTTCTGAGGGTTTTGTGATGTTGGAGCTATCTGGCCTAGAAGGCAAGGGAGGCAGGGTCATTGAATATTTTTAAGGCACTGAGGTAGATGCTTTCTTGTTAGTCAGGGGAAATCAAAGAGTATCAGATGTAGATGTGAATGTGGGATTTGGAACAGCCATGATCTTATTGATCAGCAGCTTGAAGGGCAGGATGGCCTACACTGCACCAAATTCATAGCTTGTATGTTTGTGTTCTCAGAAGCTTGAAGGCAGATAGTAAATCCATCCAACAGGTTTACCTAAGGAACCAAGTCTCAGGAGATAAGATGCTCCGTGGAAAGCTGATTTGTGCTACTAACTGAGAAGGTGGTTCTGTGAAATACGTATCCAGGATAAATTGTAACACTGGACCTTTTGACTACTATTTTAACAGTGATTTAATGTGGGAACTCACTACAGCTCCCTGCTACATGAAGACAGTGAATAGGAGCTTCTTAAGCTTGTGGACAATCTGAAGCCAATGGGTTTTAGGCCAATTAAGAGAGTGAAAGCCACAGGTTCACATTAATCACAGATCAAGGCAGTCAGGCTCTAACCAAAAAATGACTTAAGAAAATATATTTCACCAAATACAGCATATCAGACCTACTTCTGTAGCAAATCACACTCAAATCTAATTTAAAATCAGTGAAACTTAAGGAATCATTTCTCCAGTTACCTTGACAGTATTGAACATTTCAGTTAAAGGAATTTTTTACTTTGGAACGTCCCTGCATTCTGCTGAGCTAATTTGACAGCAGCTGAAGTCAGATGATTTACAAAGTCCTTCTTGCTGAAACCTTCCTGTTAAAACACAATTGTATATTGTCACTTCAGTGCATATTTGTTTAATGTGAGGGAAAAAAGAAATACTTCTCATCAAAACTTTTTGATGCATCACATAAAGAAAAATTCAAATGCTTTTACGAGACAAAACCATCCATCCATTAGCACTGCACATAGACCAGACATGGCTCAATTCACAATCCAGAACCGCAGTGAAGTAACTCCACAGAGGCCAGTATCCTGTCAATAATTCACCCTTTATTTACATGTGGGAAGCCCTTGACACTGGTCCAGCTCCCTCAGAGCCAGTTCTCAGAGTGTCAGAATGTCTGACACTCCTGTTTATATCTGTCTGCCAGGGCTCCCTGTTTGGACCAGATTAAAGCCCTATTAAGGGAACTCATTCTATGAGGTTCACCTGGCTGATCTCATTACAATCACTACACTCAGCATTTTAAATTTTTAGATCCGATGCTTAAGTTGTCAGCGAGGTACCCAATGTCTCATTTCCTTTGTGTGAGAATGCATCTCACTTGAGGTAATTAATTGTTATTCTTTCAAATCATCCTTCATCAATTAAGCCTTCACATTAGTGCCCAAACCCTAGCAGAGAACACGTTAAGTCTGACTCTCCAAAACAACTCCATTACCGACACAACAAGTCAGAAGTGTAAAATTCTCCATTTGTTTGCATGTGTGGAATCGTAACAACACTCAGGAAATGTCCAGATCAGACCGGTCCTCCTGATCAGCCCACTATCTTAGATTGACACTAACCTTCATCACTGGCACACAATTGATACAGCATGTGCTATCAGCAGAATACATTTTGAAAACTTGTCCGGATTACTTTTGACAGCATTGAAACAGAGGAACAGATACTGGCTATTTAGCTCCTTGTGCCTGCCCCACAACTATAGCTGTTCAAAAGCTTAACTCTATGTACCTGCCTTTATTCCAATATTTCTCGATACCCTTACTTAACAAAAATCCAGCAATCTCAGTCTTGACACATCCTCAATACTCTCAACATCCACCAATTAAAAGCAACATCCACCAATTAAAGGAACAAGGGCAAACACATGCTTAGAAACAGCATCATGTAAAATTTGCCCTTAAGGTAAGCGTAGCATCTTGATTTGGGCAAATGTAGCTGCAGCTTAATTGGGTCAAAATCATCAAACTATCAATCAAACAGTATTGTATGAACCTCTGCACTTTGATAAGACTGATTCAAGAGGCCAGGCCATTTATCATGTTCTCAGGTCGACTAGCAATACATTACGAATATCTTGTTAGTTAAACTCACATCTGCACAGAATGCAGTTGAAAGGAAAATTTGCCACTTTTTGTCTTAACATCTGGAAAAATTATCAAATCCACCATGCATTAGCATGTTATTGGTTACATAAAGCAAATTTTCATATATTAAATTTTAATGGATAAAAAAATTTCCATCCAATATATTTCAAGCAATATCCAAACACTTAGTACATACCCTTTTGAAGAAATTCTGCAAGTCTTTCTGCGCCCACATTTCATACAGGAAGAGACAGGCAGCTTTGCCAGCTGAGGGGTAGGCACTATAAAAATGAAGCAATAAAATTTACAAATACAATGCAATTTACTTCTAAGTAATTCTGAACAACACATCACACTGATATATTGGTGTGGAGTTTCTTGTGATGTCTGATTAGATACCAGCCTATTCTGAAAAGAAGTAGATAAATTATTACTAAAGCTCAGAATTTTACATTGGTTTAAACGTCTGGTTTAAAAGTCTATACATGTAAAGTTATCCCCTCCCCAAAACTGGTCACGCTCCGAAGACAGTGGCTAGCTTTAATTGAGTGCTAGTCATAATCTTATGTCTCAAAACATCAAAGAAATTGTCATTCAAAGCCAATTTAAAAATATAATCAAGAGATTAAATCCATCAATTGAAGAATGATTCAATTCTTGCTGATCACTCTGTTGTGCTGCTGGAGAATGAATGTCCTTCTTCAAAAAGTACAAATTGACTACACTGCTTAATTGCACTGACAGGAGATATTATAAACAGGTTTGCATTAATGTGGTTGTGCAAAAATTTTAGTGGAGTTCACCTTGCCAAAACTGGTGCATCATGCAACTCACTGCCTACGTTTTACTAATTGTGCTCCTAGCACACATTCCAGATTGAGACATGCGTGGGAATTTTCTTAGGAAGGTGTTTCCTGCTTGGCTACAGTAACCTTGGTTCCAAAACCCAGAGAAACAGGAATAAACTACTCATAGCCTTTAGGTTCAAGATAGATAGCCAATGTGGAAAATTGTTGAATAAATTCCTGGCAATAAACGTTTTGATTAGATATCCTATTAAGATTCAACAATGGTGCATGAACAGCTCATTGATAGTTGACTCTAAAACAAAAGCACTAAGAGACAGTTTCACAGTGAAAACGTAGCAGGAAAAAAATGTATATATTTAGCACAAAGATTTTTGCGTTTTCTGGTCAGTATCTAGTAGTAGGATGAACTACTGTGTGTCAATTCCATATTAGCAAGATACCAAGAAAAAGGGAAAACTCCTGGAGATAAAGGGCCAATAGGAGGCCCTCCAGAAAAGACATAATGGCAGGCTGAGCAGCCAAGTTGGGAATACCAATGTACATAGGAAGGAGCAATGCAGAGGGCCTCAAGTGCTCAAGTGCCCTCTGAAGCTGTGAAGGTAATAATAAAACCAGCCACAGCTGCTGGATTGCCACTGAGGACGTGAGACACTCCAGACAGTGGCTGCGAATATGGACATTGCGCGATTGCAGCCATACGGCTGGGGTGGGGAATTTGCCAAATGGCAAGTCCATGTGACATCTTTCCCGCAGAATTCAACTCTGGAGGTAACTGCTCATTTATTTTTCCAAATGAATACAAGTGTCATTATTTAAATGTGAAGAAATACAATGAGCCCTCACCTTAAGTTGTGCCGTTATAAGTCAGTTCCATTTAATGTTATTTGGTTCGAGGGACAGAAAATTGCTTTTAGTGTTAGGAATTGTGTTGCAACAACATTCTGCAACAAGTATGACATTGGGTCGTGGTACCCAATCAGCTCCAAATTGGAATAGCCTTTCCTGCTTGTTAATACAGTCTTTTGCAACTTTCTTTTGAAACAGGGACAAAAAGAAAATAGCAAAGCAAGGAAAAAGATGGAACAAATAGAGAAAAAAAACAGTATTATAAGGGAACAGTGGACAAATTCTTCACAGCAACATTGATCTATTGTTCAAAACAAATTTGACCCTATTACTGACATACTGACATGTTCAAATCACAATGGGGTGAAGAAGATTTAGAAAGCAGCTTGCTTGCTATAATAGGTGAAGTACTTATGATAATATACCTGGATTTACTGAGGCTCATTAGATTATTCAACATCGAACCCTGTAGTACTGTTTTTGCTATGGCAGTATTACTGGGCACCAGATTTCGCATAATATTACAGGCGGAAGCGATGGTGTCATCCGAAGTCTTGGAGCTACTACCTCCTCCAGGGAGAAGTCGTGCTAACTCTGGCAATGTCTGAGATGCTGATAGAAGGTTTGAAAAATTGGTTAATTATTGACATCTTTTGACACCATTAAAATCTCAATGTTGGCTCTACCAACTTTGTCATATTCTCCTCATTTTGTTTTATTCCTGCGCACAACACTACCATGTGTTTTACAGCTGAGTGCTTTTCGTATGGACATAATGAGCATATTGCCCCAGAACATAATTAAACCATAGTGTGGTAACAATCGGGGTGTAAATGCTATGCTTGTGCAACATTCCTTTTTATAACTATTCTGACAGGCGGCTGACCTGTTAGATCATTTTTTCAACTGTACACTAGCTGGGTCAAGTGATCCATTTGCTGATATTTCCATGGTGTCATTCAAGATTTATAGTCTAGAAATGACAAATCGTTTAGACGTTTTGCAGAGTTCTCCACTCTCCTGTTGTAACTTTTGTAGAGACCAGTGGAGGCCCCAGAGAAAAGGTGGTGCTTCTTCTCAACTTCTGCTTATGGAAATAGATGAGACTGACTGGTATCAGCTCTGGCTGAACAATACCGAGCAATGTCAGTCTTGTTGGGCACATTCTTTGCGAAAGGGCTAAAAACAGATGCCTCACCCAAATCTGGTTGCAGACTATTATGCCTTGACATGTTGTTCAGCAGTGAAACTGCAGTTTTCTGTATGTCTGGGTTGCTAGACTGGAGAAGGTTTGCGACCCGAGGAAGTGCCTTTTCCTTGTTTACTATGGTTGAACTCATCAGGTATGATGACTTGAAAAGAAAACCAAAAGCAATTAAATACTTCCAAAACGATACAAATTCAACGACTATTTCCATTAAACTCACCTCCATTTTGCTGATAATTTAAGTGAACATTAGAAGTAAGCTTTAAAAGTTGATATTAAAATAGGAAATGTGCTTCTTATCATACAGAAAGTACAGTTTTCATTTTTGTGTGAAATAGTTTGACTAATTGACAAAGCCTTATTTTGCACAGGATTATTTCGGTTTCCAAAGAAAGGACATCCAGATCAGATAAGACCATAAGATGTTGGAACAGGAGGAGGTCCCCAAGCCTGTTCTACCATTCAATAGGATCATGGATGATCTGATGTTCCTCACATTCAATCTCCTGTGTTTTCCACATTTCCCTTCGTTACCTACTGGTCAAGAATCTATCTATTTCAGCCTTAAATATACACAAGAACTCTGCTCCCACAGCTCCCCATAGCAAGGAATTTTAAAGACTCTCAACTTACTGAGAGAAGAAATTCATCTTCACCTCAGTCTTAAAACAGCACCCCTTCATCTGAGACTATGCTCTCTGGTCATAGACTTTCCCATAAGGGGAAACATTCTCTCAGCATTTACCCTGTCAAGCCCCTAAGAATCTTATGTATTTCAAAGAGACCACCCCCTCATTCTCCTAAACTCCAATGAGTAGAGTTCCAACCTGTTTAGCCTTTGCTTATAGAACAATCCCTCCAGACTGGAGATTGTCCTAGAAAACCTTGTCTGAACTGCTTAATACCTTTTTTTAAAATAAGGGGACCAAAACTGCTCACAATACATCAGATGTGGTCTCATCAATGTCTTGTACAGTTGCAGTGAGATTTCCCTACTCTTATACTCCAACTTCCTTGAAATAAGGGCCAACATTCCAGTAGCCTTGCTGATTACCTGCTGCACCTGTGTGCTAGCTTTCTGTGTTTCAGATACAAGTTACCCCAAGTCCCTTTGTGTTGCAGCTTTCTGCAGTTTATCTCCATTTAAATAACACTGTTCTTTTGTTCTCCTTTCCAAAGTGAATAACTTCACATTTTCCCACATCATAGTTCATTAATCAACTTCTTGGCCATGCACTTAGCATATAATATCTCTTTGTAAATTGTCTGTATCCCTCTCACAACTAGTCTTTCTACTAATTCTGCAAATTTAATCACACACTATACTTGTGTTCTTCCTCCATGTCATTAATATCTATTGTAAACAGTCACAGTCCCAACAGTGATCCCAATAACTTGACAAAAACCTGTTGCCCATCAGCTACTTCTCGATCCATATCAATATACTACCTCCAACTTACATTATGACATAACACTTTGAGAGTTAGCTTGTTGAATGCCTTTTGGAAGTCCAAATACATCACATCTACTGGTTCCCCTCTATCCACTCTGGTTGAGATTTCCTCAAAAAACTCTGGTAAATTAGTCAAATAAGATTTCCCTTTCATGAAGCCATGCTGACTCTGCTTGATTAGATTAATGATTTTCCAAATGTACAGCTATTACTTCCTTATCAATTGATTCCTAACAATAGATGTGAAAGTAATTGGCCTATAGTTACCCATTTTTTTGCCTCCCTCCCTTTTCGAACAGGGGTGTCACATTGCCAGTTTTCCAAATACTGTGGTACTTTGCCACAATCCAAAGACATTTGGAAAATTACAACCAATGCATCCACTATCTATGTAGCTACATCTTTTCAGATCCTATGATTCTATCCATCTGGCCAGGGGACTTTTCTATGTTTAGCCCTATTAATTTGTCCAATACTACTTTTATATTTCCAGAAGTGCTTCCTAACATCACCCTAGCAACTTAGCTCCAATTCAAAGGCTGTGTCCTTTTGTGCTGGGGTCCTTTTCTGGAAGAAAAGGTCTTACTCCATTCTTGTTAGCAATTCCTTAATAGATTCACCACTTCCCTGTCTCTGTAACCACCTCCAGCTGTACAGCCCTAACAGTTTAGTACACTTCTAATTCTGGGTTGTTTTCTGGTTGGTGAGTATGTCCTCAGAAACTAAGATAATAAGCTCTTGATTTCATCTCTAAACCTCCTTCCTCCTCCAAGATTACAGCAATCCTCTTTATGAAAGTTTTGTCCATCTGTCCAAATGGCTCTGGTTCAAATTTTGTCCGATACTGTAAATGGTCTTGGAATATTTTGCCTTGATTAAGTTGCTACTTAAATGAAAAATTGGCATTTTAAAGATGCAGAAAGAGGCCAAATGGATTTAACCAGGGTTTCAGAGATTACTGACAAATGCTTATGACATAGCTGCTGGGTTGGAGGAGGAGAGAACAGTCGGGCATCAAAGTCTGGAGAGGTCTATGAGGAGAGGGTAAGGCAAGGCGTTGCAAAGGTTTAACTGTGAGTCACATGTGTTGGGAGCATGGAAAACTGTCCTAGGACTGGGGGGGGGCTAGGGATTGGGGAAATGCAACTTTGCCTGATAAGTGCTTTTTGGAAACATTAAACTTTCTGGAGGGCAGAGGCTTGGAAGGAGGGGTATTGGTGGGTTAATGTCAAAATAGAAAGAACTTGGGCCAAGGTTTAGAGGCTGGGAAGCAAACTGGATGAATGTTGGTGAGGAATTTGTTAAATATGTTCGAGAAAATTTTCTTTATCAAATATGTAGATGTATCTACGAGACAAGGAGCAAAATTTGACCTTCTTTTGGGAAATAAGACAGGGCAAGTGACTGAAGTGTTAGTGGGGAGTGCTTTGGGACCAGTGGTCATAATTCTATTAGTTTTAAAATAGTTATGTAAAAGAATAGGCCTTGTATAAAAGTTAAAATTCTTAATTGCAGTAAGGCAAACTTTGAAGATATGAGAGAGGAAATTTCAAAAGTTGATTAGAGTGGACTGTTCGCAGGTAAATGAATGACTGGCAAATGGGAGGCTGTCAAAAGTGAGATAATGAGAATTCAAAGACAGTTATGTTCCTGTTAGGGTGAAGAGTAAGGCTGGTAAGAATCAGGAACAATCAATGAATAAAAATATTGAGGTTCCGGTCAGGAATAAAAAGGAGGCATATGTTAGGTATAGACAACTGGGATCAAGTGAATCTCTTGTACAGTATAAGGAGTGTCGGGGCATTCTTATGAGGAAAATCAGGAGTACAAGAAGGGGATACCAGATAGCCTTGGCAGATAAGATTATGTATAATACAAAGAGATTCTACAAGTACATTAAGAGCAAAAGAGCAACTAGGGAAAGAAATAGGGCCCCTTAAAGATCATCTATACGTGGAACCACAGGAGATGGGAGAGATACTAAACAAATATTTTGCATCAGTTTTTACCATGGAGAAAAACATGAAGGCTAGGGAACTCTGGAAATAAATATTGATGTCTTGAAAACAGGTCACATTGTATAAGAGGAGGTGCTGGAAGTTTTGAAAAAAACGTAAAGGTGGTAAATCTACAGGACCTCATCAAGTGTATCCCAGGATGTTGTGGGAAGTTAAGGAAGGAATTGCGGGGCCCCTAGCAGAAACACTTGTATCACCTACAATCACAAGTGAGGTGCCAACGTACCAGAGGGTGGCTAATGTTGTCCCTTTATATAAGAAAGGCTGTAAGGAGAAGCCTGGGAACTACAGACCAAAGAGTCTGACATCATTGGTGGTTAAGTTGTTGGAGGGGATTCTGAGAGATAGGACTTACATGCATTTGGAGAGGCAGGACTGATTAGAGATAGTCAGCATGGCTTTGTGAGTGGGAAATCATGTCTCACAAATTTGTTTGAACTTTTTCAGGACATAACCAAAAAGATTGAGGACAGAGTGGTAGACATTCTTTACATGGACTTTAGTAAAGCCTTTGACAAGGTTCCACATGGAAGACTAAGGCAGATCATATGGGATTCAGGAAGACCTTGCCAACTGGATGCAAAAACGTCTTGACAGTAAGAGACAGAGGTTGGTGGTGAAGAGTTGTTTTTTTGGACTGGTGACCTGTGACCAGCAGTGCTCTGCAGGGATCGGTGCAGGGTCCACTGTTTGTCATTTATATAAATGCTTTGGATAAGAATTTAGGAGGCATGTTAGTAAGTTTGTGGATGACACCAAAATTGATGGTATAATTGACAGTGAAGGTTATCTAAGATTACAAAGGGATCACAGATCAATTGGGCCAATGGACTGAGGAGTAGCAGATGGACTTTAATTTGGACAAATGTGAGGTATTGTGTTTTGGTAAAATGAACAAGGGCAGTACTTATACTGTTAGTAGTGGCCTTGGGTAGTGCTGTCGAATAGAGAGACCTAGGGGTTCAGGTACAAAGTTCTTTGAAAGTTGTGCCACAGGTAGACAGGGTGGTTAAGAAGGTGTTTAGATTGCTTGCCTTCATTGCTCAAACCTTTGAGTATAAGGGTTGGGATATCATGTTGAGGTACAGGATATTGGTGAGGCCACTTCTGGAGTACTGGGTACAATTCTGGTTGCTCTGCTATAAGATGGATATTATTACATTAGAGATGGTTCAGAATAGATTTACCAGGATGTTGCCGGGCCTGGAGGGTTTGAGTTCTAAGGAGAGGCTGGATTGGCTGAGACCTTTTTCACTGGAATGTAGGAGTTTGATGGGTGACCTCATAGTGGTGTATAAAATCATCAGGGGCACAGATAAGGTGAATAGCACAGGTCTTTTTCCTAGGGTGGGGGAGTTCAAAACTAGGGGGCGTATTTTTTAAGGTGAGAGGGGAAAAATTTATAAGGGACCTGAGAGGCAACTTTTTCATACAGTGGATGGTTCACATGTGGGATGAACTGCCAGCAGAAGTAATAGATGCAGGTGCAGTTACAACATTTAAAAGATATTTGGACAGGTACATGAATAGCAAAAGTTTGAAGGACATGGACCAAACGCAGGTAGGTGGGGCTAGTTCAGTTTGAAAAACTTGGTCGGCATGGATGAGTTGGACTATAAAGTGTGTTTCTGAGCTTTATGACTATATTACTACTTGCTAGGAGATCATTTATTCTGGAAGTCATTTATTAAAACTGCATCATTATCCATTACCAGATCCATGATAGCCTGTTCCCTAGCTGGCTCCATGACATATTGCTCTAGGAAACTCTCTAATACACTCTATGAATTCATTGTCATAATTATCTTTTCCAACTTGACTGATCCAATCAACATGAAGTTCTGATTTCAGGGATGAACAGACAGAATTAATAGCCTGACTTCTCATTTTTTGTATGTCAAAGAATACTGTCTTGTTAGTCCATTTTAAAAAATCCTTGCTCAGCCCACCATCAAACATTTTTGTACCATGTTGTTGCTGGCAGTAAGGTTCTGCAGAGCTCCCGCACAAGCTTCGAGTGTGGCATCAGACTTGGATTTACCCAAAAGGGATGTGTACATTTTGATTGCTTTTGAGTGTGAAAGATTGTTAACACCTTTCGGATTGTCATCCTCTTTCAGGAAAGGCATATTATCTAAATCAGGCTGTTGAAGGGAGAAAAAAACAAGACAAAATTACAGAAAGGTCAATATAAACATTTAAAAGAATGACTTTTCATTCTTTTTTTGCAGTGACAGCATACTGCTGCTTGTGGATTGAAAAATCAAATGGGGTATATAACTGGAAGCAAATCCAAAAACTACAATTAACTGCCCACTCTGGAAATCCACAGCCCATAAAGATGCTGAGGCTAGGTTGATTAGAAGTTTCAAAATAAAAACTGATGATTTTTATATGCAAGGATATGAAGAATTCCAGAAGTAAAGGGCACAGTTGGAAGCAAGATACAAATATGGCATGATCTAACTAAACATCAGAACACCGCTGAGGGCCTGAATAATTTAGCTCTAGTTCAGAGGTGACTTTTCGGAAAGAAAAATAAAATGCATTCTATGTATTAATTCTGCTGACAGTGTAATTTATTGTAGTGAAAGGATTGGTGAAATTCAAAACATGGCAAGCTAGACTTATGATCTGAGGTCTGAAAACAGATCAGAATTTATTTAAAAATTGTGAAAGCAATACTAACAGCGTTTCTCAGAATAGATGTCACAGTTACCTCATCAAACTGATCATTTCCAGGGCTGAAACAGCCCACAGAGGACTTCTTTGTCATTCTGTTTTGGCTCCGTACACTTCCTTTCCCATTAATGTGGCTGAACACAGCTGGCACTTCAGTATCCAAGTGGTATGTGAGGTTATGTAGGATGCAAACACAGTTTTCAACCGACTGTCAGAAATTAAAAATTATAGAATTAATAAACAAAACGTTTATGCTATTAATATGTTTATTATAACAAAGACTTATAAGATCATACAGTGCAACACTGTCAACATAAAAGTAACAAAAACCTAGCTCAGATTTTAACTGATTACATTGGAATATAAAGTATTACACCATTGTGTTCATCAGCTTGTATGGCACCAGAGATAATCATATCGGGACCCAAACTCTTAATTTAGTTCCATTAAGTGAAACTTTGAGGCATAATGCATAGTTAAAATAAATCTACTCTGTCCTTTTGAAGTTAGAAGATTGTAGGGTGATCTAATTGAGATTTTTAAAAATGACAAAACTATTCAATGCAGTAAATACAAAGAGGTTACTTTTTTTGCTGGGAAATTCAAAACAATGGGTACAATCTTAAAATCAGAGCTAGTCCATTTGGAACGGAATCAAAACTATTCCTCTCCAAGAATACTTCCATGGATGCTATGACCATTGACATTGTCGGGGCTTGAAATGGCCTGATTTGTATTCATTGAAGGTATAAAAGGATATGGATCAAATGGAGTTGAGACATAGATCTACCATGATTTTACTGAATGAAGGAATGGACTCAACATTTCTCGACAGGCTCAAATGATGTGGAAGCATTGGTTTAATATGTTTCCTTTAAATTACTTTGCTAAGAGAGTCAACAGTCTAACTTGGAACAGAAAGGAATTTGAACCAAATGTTACCTATAGGATTACTGCAGGAAATGATATTCTACTGCATTTTAAATAATATTTGGACTATTGTTACAGTGAGGGATGAAAAATGAGTGGAGAGGCTCTCCCTTTGCTGAATGAAATAAAATTAATATTTTTTTTTAAAAATGGTCTACACAGCCAGGTCACTGCTGTTCAGGGCTGGGCGGGGGAGGTGGTGGTGAAGAACAGGAAGCTATTGCTTCCAGGCTTACTTGCAATGCTGGCCCCCAAGGTTGCCACTTCCAGCCAGATAAACTAGCCCCTGTTAAACTCCCTATTCCTGGAAGTGACAAGAAAATGCCAGTGAGCATCCATTAATGAGCTTCAGCTTGATCAATTAGCTGGCAACTACTTGCAAGCAGATAGCTCTGCTATTTCCTCCTGCAATTCCTGTATCCTAGAGGAAAACGAACCATGCTAGGACAGAAAGAGTCAAGATGGCTGGTGTCCAACCTAGGTTCATGCTTTTCCCATTCTCCCAAATGCTTGGAAAGTTTTCCCTCACTTGCTATCACCTGCTCGAACCCCTGATACCATTTACCCTGCATGCCCTCTGTGCTGCCTACTCACTCGCTCAGGACAACTCCCCTCCAGCACCAAAAGTAACCTCTGTGCCATCCACTTTCACCACCCTTAATACCTGCCTCTCTCACATTTCATGAGGGAAACAGCCCTCAATAGGGCAGAAATAGAGTCATGATGGAAGAACATCCTGACTCTGATTACTCTGAATGTCTGGCCTATTGTTGTCAAGCCACTAGACTGGTATCAGAGGTTGACTTAATGTGCCAGGATGCTCTGAGTTAAGGCTATACTCCATCACTTGATTGAGACCTGCTGACAACCACTGGGTGGGATGCTCTTTGGAAGGTTGGTTCACACTCAATGGGCCAAATGGCCTCTTCCTGCACTATAGGGATTCTATAATTCTATAAAACGATACAGTAAAATGCTCCTGACAGAGATATCAGTATCACCAGACTTCTTCGCTGTTTCTACCACAAATTTTACCATAGCTCATGTCAGTCAGACCTTTATAATATTCCACCTGAACTTTAATGCCAGTTTTTTTTTTGATTGAGTTCAAATATCACCATCTGTCATGATGAGATTTAAACCCATGTTATTTTCTGATGAAGGGTCTAGGCCCGAAACGTCAGCCTTCCTGCTCCTATGATGCTGCTTGGCCTGCTGTGTTCATCCAGCTCTGCACCTTGTTGTCCACAGAACATTAACCTGGACTGTGGATTTCTAGCCTGGTGACCTTACCACTATGCTACCTCCACACTCTCTCTCTCTATTAAAACATATCCTAGTGACTGAATGGTAACAAAATAAACAAAAGTCTTTTTGTTAGTGTTACTCACATCAAAAATGTTGGCATATATGCATGAAGTTAATGATCAATTTATGTACAATCATGGAGGAGGTAACAAATTAATTTGGTTTTCCTTTGTCTGATTCTAGTCTTAAGACTGCTTTATACATTAATTATGTAGAGAGTTGGCAAACATGTAGGTTCTTCATTACAAGAAAGCCACGTCATGTTTTTTTCACCTTGTTCTCTGAAAAATGGGATGATAACCACAGAAACCCAGAAAACAAAATTAGAATTTGGATATTTCATCCAAACTTTTCTAGCTCGAGGAACAGAGCTGGATGATTAAGTTACTAGGTTTTGCTACATTTTCAACCTGGAGTGATTAAATATACATGCGCATCTTTATCATAATTAACATGTTACATGATTATGATTCTACCTTTGCATCAGCTTGGTTTGCATTGATACATGCTTGAGTATAAGTCATAAGAGAATCAATCAATCCATTGCAGTTGCGCATCATCTGCCGGCCTTCTTGACCAGCAGAGCTCAGGTTCCTACAGAACAAGATTTACAAGATGTTATTTTTTTTAAATGAAATCCCTGGTGCAGAACACCAAAAAGGTGAGAGAGAACAAGAAAGATTAAATAAAGCTGAAAGTAATAATTATAATGATAAGATGTTTTAAAAATAACAGTCTTCAGACTGCAGAAGAAAGAAACATGTACCAACTGAAGACTTGAAAGGCTTTAGGCGTAAGAATCCAGAATTTTAGTGTCTCAAAGAAATATAGAGTTACAGAATAATAGAGTCTTACAACATGGATACAGATCCTTCAGTCCAACTCATCCATTCCAATCAAGTTTCCCAAACTAAACTAATCCCATTTGCCTGCATTTGGCCCATATCTCTCTAAACAGCTCACTTTGCTGTTTTAACTGCTTAATAACGCATTACTTCCAGAGGTTTTAGGTTCATCCAGGTACCTGTCCAAATGTCTTTTAAATGTTGTAACAATAGCTGCATTTACCAGCTCTTCTGGCAGTTTATTCAACATATGACTCACCCTCTCTGTGAAAAAGTTGTCCTTAGGTCTCTTTTAAATCTTTCTCCATTCACCTGAAAATTCAGGTCTTGAACTCCCCAACCCTAGGGAAACGACCTTTGCTATTCACCTTATCAACATCCCTCATGATGTTATAAACCTCTATGAGGTCACCCCTTGACCTCCCACACTCCACTGAATAAAGTCCCAACCTGCCCCATAACTCAAAGCCTCTCGTAACAGTAATACCCCAATAAATCTCCTTTGTACACCCTCCGATCCCATAATATCCCTCCTATAGCAGGGCAACCAGAACTATACACAGCACTTCAAGTCTTACTGCAGCAGTACAAGGTGCTGGTGAGACCACATCTGGAGTGCTGTGTGAAGTTCTGGTCTCCCCATTTAAGGAGAGATATCTCCCTATTAGAGGCAGTTCAGAAAAGGTTCATTAGGATGACCCCTAGTATTCAGGGACCGTATTATGGGCAAAGGCTAAACACCACTCTTTGAATTTTGGAAAAATGAGAAACATGTAGGATTCTTAAGGAGCACGACAGGGTAAATGCTGAGAGGATGTTTCCCCTGATGGCAGAGTCTAGGACTAGAGGGCATAGGATAAATGGGACCCAATTTAAGACTGAGATGAGGAGGAATTTCTTCTCTCAGAGGATTGAGCGTCTTTGAAAGTCATTGGTACAAATGTGTCAATGAGCCGCACAAATGCTCACTTTGCTGTTTTAACTGCTTACTAAGGCTTTACTTCCGGAGGTTTTAGGTTCAGGAATAAATGATGCTCATCTCAGCCCACTGAAGTATGCAGTTGATATCAAAATGAATTTAATTTCTAAACCCTGAATTAATTGTTCGTTAGTGAATTAATTGTAACCAAATCAAGAAAGATGGCACACTACAAGTTGTGCAATAAGCACTATTGAATCATTAACAAACCATAGTTGAACACTGGGCACATGAACAATGAAGTGTCATGTATTGATGTTATGAGTTACTCAGCAGTTGCATACCAAATTATTAATAGACAGAGTGTTTACCATTATAAAATGTACATTGGCAATTCAATAGATAACTGTAAATCAGCACCAATATAACCTGCTCCAGAAGAGTGCGACAACATCTCTGAACAGGTTGATTAGAAAATAAAAATTTTAAACCGGACAAGCTGACTCTGATTGGTCGGGGCATTGCCTCAAGAAATTGCACCAGAAAAATACTGTCACCTATTTTGTTGAATTGAGTAGCGACACAAGTGGTGTTTGCCATTAACAGGATGCTGGCTTTAAACACAGAAGACATTCAGCCTCTCACACAAATGGGTAATGTACAAAATCATATAGATCATCTGTGTTTGACATTAGTATATAAACAGACAGAAAGAACATTTCTGTGCATATTTCAAACTTTTCCTCAGCCCTGACATTTTTGAGTTTCCTAAACAGACAGTATCTGCACTAACTGCCTGCCCTTCTAGCTGGTTCTGACTATGAGACACTGGACTCCTGTCATGAGGGAACAGATTGTTTTTTTCACTTTCCTACTTCTGTTTCTAATACATTGAAGTATTCACCAAAAGGATTTAAAACTTTGCTTAAATTCACGTGAAAACAAACCTTTACAGGGCCAGGATCTACTTGCAGAACTTAAAAATGAAGTTGTATTCTTCCATTCTTAATGCACAATATAGAAATAAAGATCAAACTTAAAGCATCATTAAAGTCATAATTTTTCTATTTTAGAACAAGCTCCCAAACTGTAATATGTTATGATCCTTCATCTAAATAGATGTTTGGCTCCCTAGCCTTCACCATCTTCCCTCACATCCCATCCCCATTTCTCCACGTAGTGGCTAGTTTCAGAAAAGCATTGAAGTTGTGAGGACATGCAGTTACCCCGAATTCTTAATTTGTCAGAGGTTTGAAATGCCTGACTTTGGGGAAGGAGCCAAATTTTCTTTTAAAAAAGTTACTGTCATCAACAGATGAATCTAATGTCCCTCCAATGGAGCCATGAGTATCATACCTTAGACATCCTGTGGCATTGTAGAAAACATTGGAATCGTTGATTCTTGGATTTCCATATTCCTCAGAAGTATGTGGAATAATCACAGACTCAGTCAGGGCTGGCAGGGCATCTTTAATCAAGACTTCCTTGAGGTCATCACATGATGAAAGGTTCCACAAGAGTCCTAATAACATTAAAAAATAATTTGCAAACTTAACACAACATGTACAACCTGAGGCAGTGGTTTGGAAAGTCACTTTTGTTTTCGTATCTTCATATTACCTCCCATGTTTAATTCCTAAAACTTAACTTGTTTCAGGTCACTTTGATAAAACAGAGATCTCGGCAAAATTCTTCTGCTAGCCTGTGCAGTCTCAAATTTCAATCTTATTGAGAAAATCAATTAACAGCATCCTTTAAACAGATGATTCACAGCTGCAAACTCCTATAATGGACTGCAGTCACCATTTCTGGAAAACTTTTGAATGGGAATGTATTTAAGGCACATAGAAGTGAAATGAATTCAACTACCTGTGGCCTGGCAATGAACACAAGCAGAACATTTAGGTACAAGATGTCTATTACATATTTCCTTAATACCAATCATATTGATCTACTAAATTGGCATAATAGGCTCTTATTATTTCTTCATGAAATAATGTGTCTTTTACCAGCTTTCCATAACATGTGGAAAACTAAGAGACTCACAGTATTAGGCAATATTTGACTGCTCCTATTTGAAGTCTAAAAGCTTAGCCAATTAATAACATCCAGGTGGTAAGCTAGAAATGCTAAGCATTCCTAGATCTATTTAACTACTGGAAATAACTGATGTGTGTCAATAAAACAATATATCCCAGCATCATTATACATCTCTAATAATCAAATCCCTTGTGACTATGTATTATAGATTGCACTATACATGATGACACAACATATAGACTATCCCAGATAACAAGGTGCAGAGCTGAATGAACACAGCAGGCCCAGCAGCATCAGAGCAGCAGGAAGGCTATGAACTATCCCATTGTTTACTATACCAAAATACCTGTTTAGGCCTATGCTTGGCACATAATTCAACCTCTCATTTCTCATTTAATAAATGTATGCACAGAGCTGCATGAAGAACATGGCAGCCACCATTTCTGGAAAATCTTTGAATGAAAATGTATTTAAGGCACAGCTCCTCCTATGTTCTAAGACCAGAACGAAGCGAAATATACAAAGCAGGAGATCAAAGGTGATACCATTGTTACAACACTGTGTTACATTTTCTGGAGTTACATATTGGGTACATTAGGCATGAGCATAAATCAAAGATATTCAGATGGTTTATAGCAATGATCAGAGAGAATACTGAAAGGTAGACACTGAAATTTTAATGACCAAATTAATTTCTTTCCAAAACTAGCATGACCTATTGATACTCCAAAATTTGTATTTATCATTAAGCTTATCAATCCAGTCTTTTCATTTTTCTTCAAAACCCATAATGCCCTTACTTCTCAGTGTGAATAACTTTGATACTTCATTATCTGTTCTGTATATTCAGAATGTATTGGTCCTGTATATTCCACAGCACATTCCTCATTTTTAAAACACTTTTGTGACAACATCTCATCCAAATTCAGTTCAGGTCAATTTATAGAACTAGATGAACCAATTCAACATTTTTAAATTATCATCTTTTTGAATTTTTCATTGCCCCACTCTGAGTCACATTTATTTTCTCAAGCACTCAAGAATAGTCAGAGAAATCTCCAAGGAAAGATCAGCTAAAATAGTTGTATAAGCTAACTGTGCAAGTTTCTGTGTGGAGAAAAAAACAAAAGTTGGCCTCTCAATGCTGCATCACTTCATGGACACAGGAGTGCAGATTAATTGACTTTCAGGACAGGAATCTTGGTGCCAGTTGTTTGAGGTCATACCGCCCCATTTTCAGTTTCTTAATGCCACTTAAAAATGGGCAGTAAAACTGAAGAAAATCCAGAAAATATACCCCCTTGTGATCTACTCCTTTGTATCTTTCTCTTCATTCTGGTAGGAGGAGCTATGCCTTAAATGTAGTCTGAGTGTTATTTATCCACTTAACAAAGCGCCCTTCACAATATTTTCAAAAATGTATTCTAAAAATATTTCTAGCTTGGAGACAAGTGACAATTCAGGTAAACACCTCTGGGATCAGTGGAACATAATATACCTATCTCTGAGGGGCTCAACTCCTGACTCCTCAAAGTTGTTCCAAAGTTTATAAGTCTTAAATTAGGAGTACACATGTAGTAATATATCTCTGACTTGTACAAGCAAGCCCCAAAGTTTACCAAGCCACATCAGCTAAGTAGATCTGTTCCCTCTTCAATAGGCTCAATATCCATTCTCGCCAGCAGTGGAAATATGTAATTATTAATAAGAGACCTCTGCAAGGTCACCCATAGTTCATCCGTTACATTCTAAAATTGTGAATCATTTCAAACATTGGCTATTGACAGCCTGGAACATTATTGAGGGGGTGAGGGTAGAAGTGGTCATGCCAGGTCTGGTTGTACTTGCCTCAATCCAATTGTGTTCTATGAGAGTTCAAAAGTTAGAACTGTTAAACTTAAGGTACTGAAGAACAACACATGAGGCAGGCAGTGTGAAAAATGGTGGGACAAGTCACAAGGGAGAACAGTGTTGGGAGTTGACACTGCAGGTTGGTTAAGAGAGTTTGGGAAGGGAGATAATGACAGGACTCACAAGTTGGAGAAAGGTGGTGTACGGGAGCATAGAAGTTTGCTGAAATCACAGAGAATGAGAAATTACAGACTGAGTTGCCTGGGAGGTATCTCAGTATGAAAGGTGACAGCGGGCTTGGGATTGTCATGGTGACAAAGAACTGGAATGTATGACAGGAAGGACGGATAAAGAAAACAAAAGGAATTGCTTAAATGGAGAAGGTGCAGAGGAATAGGAGATCAGAGCTATTCCAAGAAGTCTTCCAATTAAGCAATTTTTACCAGTTATTTGCTTTTGTGTTTCCAGATCATTTGTTTCTCTCAGGATCTGAAGGATTGGTTTGATCCCACCATTTTTCTTTACTTCAAGCTTGTTGTTGACGTTCTTGTAGACTGCATTTCGAAGAGCTCCACAGACAGACTGCTGAACGTTGTTATTTTTGATTCCCAAGAGGTTGATCAGTTGAGGAATTGCATTCATTTCAGAAATCTGGAAAACAATATTTATTTAATCTAGCTGGATATGTCATATGATGTTACAAATGACATGTAATGACAATTACAAAGATCAAGTGTCTAACGATTAAACAGTGAGGAGTGACTGGATTCAAAGTGCTCTGTTTTCTCCTCACAGATGCTGCCGGACCTGCTGAGTTTCTGCAGCAATTTCTGTTTCAGTTTCTATCACTGAACAAGCTGTCAAACAAGGAAGCAACTAGTCTCACATGTTTAGAATCTTGTATTTAGATCAAGCTGTCAGTTAGGAACGTATTTTTAAGACTTCTTTTCAAAAATGTTGTGGATGATCAAGTCAAAAAAGGTAAAAAGTCAATCATCTTACTGAACCATAGGGATGCTGTCTCATTAAAGAGATGACTAGTGATGATTTAACCTGAGCATCATGACACCTCAGGTGCAGGAAGAGATTGAAAAGGTGGGGCCTTCATGCTAACCTCAGCCAGTACAGGAATTGAACCCATGCTGTTGGCAAAACTCTGCATTGCAAATTAGCCATCCAACCAACTTGAGGTAACTGGCCCCTAAAGCAAAAAGTTAAAGAGTTTAGAGGTAGGTTCATTGAGTTCTGATTAAAGCTTATTAGCCTGAAATATTTCCACAGGTCTCTTCTACCCCAGACACTGCCAAACTTGCTGAGTATTTCCAGTATTTTCTGTTTTTAATCCAGATTCCTAGTAAAACTTTAATGCTAAAGACTGAGGTAGCAAGGCAAATATTTTTAGAAAAGGGTCCAAAGCAGAAGGCCATGAGTGAAAGACTGATCTCTAATGACAAAATGTAATATTCTAGAATCAGAGGGAAGACATATTTGGGCTAGAATGAACAGCTGAAGATTTCCTAAACAAAGGCAAGACCTACTTACTGCAGCGGCTCGGGGGAAGGAGCTCTCAGTGGGAAACCGGAAAGAAGAGTAACATTAGAAAGAGGGCATCCTTCACTCAGTGAAATGGCAGCACTCATCTCTCTGCTAGAAAGTTGTGGCTTCAAGCTTAATGCCAAACAGATGAACACACAATCGAGACTGACACTTCAGTGACCTGACTGAAGAATGTTTCACTGTCAGAGTTTGATGTCTTTTATCATAGAAGACTTGGAGAGAAACTGCAGAAAACTGCAGCACAAAAGGACTATGGGGGTTCTTGCGCATGAAACACAGAAAGCTAGCTCACAGCTGCAAAAGGTAATCCAGAAGGCTAATAGAATACTGACCCTTATTTCAATGTGGTTGGAGTGTAACACTAGGGAAGTCTTATTGCAACTGTACAAGTGTTGGTGAGACAATATCTGGAGTACTGCAACCAGTTTTGGTCTCCTTATTAAAGCACAGGTATTATTTCATTGGAGGCAGGTCAGAGAAGGTTCACGAGAAAGATCCCTGGTATGAAAGGATTGTTTTGTGAGCATAGGCGAAACATGTTGGGATTCTATTCACTGGAGTTTAGAATAATAAGTGATCTCATTGAAACATATTAGGATTCTTAAGGGACTAGACCAGGTAAATGATGGGAGGGAGTTTGAGGACCAAATAAAGGGGTGCCAATTTAAGACTGAGATGAGGAGGAATTTCTTCTCTTAGAGGATTGAGAGTCTTTGGAATTCCATGCTACAGAGAGCTGTGGGGGCAGAGTCCTTATGTATATTAAAGGCTGAGATTGATTCTTGAGCAGGAAGGGAATCAAAGGTATGGGAAAGGGTAGGAAAGTGGATGTGAGGAGTATGCAATCAGCCATGATCCTCTTCAATGATGGAGCAGGCTCAAGGAGCCAAACAGCCTACTCCTGTTCCTATTTTCTATGGCCTTATTAAGACCAAGCTCCTGTCTGCATTCTCAGGTGGCCAAGTGAGACTCTACAGTACAACTGAAAGAAAAGTAGAGGGAAATTTTTAGATCTCCAGTTCAACATCAAATCCTTAATGAACATCACTACTAAAGACTATTTTTTTTTTAATTTTATGCATGGAATGTGGGTATCAATGACAAGGCCAGCAAATCATGTTGAACTGAATGACTTAGCAAGGCCACTGTAGAGGCCAATTAAGATTCAACCATATTGCTACGGAGTTGGAGTCACAAGTAGGCAAGATCCCCAAAGGACATTAGTGAACCAAACGGGTTTTTAAGATAATCATAGTGTCAAGGTCACCATTACTGAGTCTAGCTTTCAAGATTTTATTAATTAGATTTAAATTTCCCCATCTGCGATGTTGGGATTTGGACCCATATCTCCTGAGCGTTCTTCTGGACAATTGCTTAACCAGTCCAGTGATAGTACCACCATCTCAGTAGTGTACATAGGGCTCTGCTGTAAGTCACCTTACTGCCATGTTTCTCTCAACACAGCAATAAACATTTCATCAGCATCAATTCATAGGGATAGATTTAAAGAGGCTTGTGCAATGCTCAAAAAGAATGAAAACGTTGGGCTGAATAGCCTGTATAAAATCCTGTGCATAGCACTTTAGGAGATCTTGGGATCAGAAAAGAAGTAGTTCAAGTTTGCTCAAATTCCTGCAGGAAAATTCTGCAAGAAGTGCATTCTGTAAACTACAAATGACTAGGGAAATGATACATATCACTATTTCCCAAAGCATGCAATCATATACTGAAAGAAGATTCATATCACCCCACCCCCATTTAAAATGTGAAAACCTGGCATATATGTATTATTTATGAACTAAGCTATTCCAGAATTGCTTGGATTGCAATTATATCCCTCAGTGACAACTGATACATGTACACATTTTCAGACAGGATTACAAATCTATAATTTATGTACAGACTTTACCAACTAATTTTAACAAGCCTGTGGATCAAAAACGCTAGTGGGGAGACTCCCTTTACTTTTCATTTTAGATAAGGTACTTTTGTTTAATGTTTTCTGTTTCAACAGATATGTTTATGATATGTTACATTACCGCTGTTTTAGCCATGTCCTCCTTGAAGCACTCATGCTGAATGTAAGAAGCAGCGTAGGCCAGAACACTGGGATCCTGATCGGATAAAAGCATCACTGCTTTTTTTAGATTCATATTGCTGTCAAAGTCTCTGTGAAAGGGCAAAAAGATTAACATGACAATGAAAACATTAACATGTGCGGCTATCCATTTACACAGATGAACAATGCACTTTTTTGACAACCGAGTAACATGTCAAAAAAATAAATACAGGGCCCAAACATATGGTATTTATGTGATGGTTTCAAAATATTAAGTCCAACAAACAAAAAAACAATGTCCAAGTGTAGTGAATTTTACGGCAACTACAATTACAACTTGTAGTTACACATCCTACGAATACTGCCGAATAAACAAAAAACAAAAAAAAATTAAATCCAAGAAAATTAATGACAAATAGAAACTGAACCTGTAGGGTTTTTTGTTTGCATTTTGTCCCCCTTTGATACTCCAGGCTATATTCTGTACCACTACAGTGCAGTTTACACCACTTATAGAAGGTACATTTATGCCCACTAGCAGCTTGTAACAATACTCATGATGTTCAGAATGAAAGAGTGACATTTGACAGAAACAGATTCACTATAAAATACTGCAAAAATATGTTTCTTTTTAGATTCTGCTATTCTTTTGTAGACATAATGACTGAATATTTTAAAACCTTCTTTTAGGGCAGTTTAAATGATAGCATATGACACAATTGTAAGCATAGGCAGTGACATTCATATTTCACAAATTAGTTATTTGTCAGCTATTTCAGATTTTGGAATTTAACTGTTGCCGAGGAGAGCTAGCTGTAACCCAACAGATAGAGGCTGCAAAAGCATTGTACTGCAGATGCCAGAAATTTGAAATAAACGCGAGAAATGTTTGAAATACGCAACAGGTCCTGAAGTATCTGTGAAGACAGAAACAGAGCTAAAAGGCTGAATAAGTGTCAATTCTGGTGAGTTTCATGGAGGGTTCGTCTCCTGGAAACTGAGCGAGATTGTTCATGCCAATCACTGAAATGTATCCCATTACCTCTGCCTCATGTCTCTGATGCTTGTGTAATCCTATCTTCCCTCTTGCCAAAAGTGGAAGTACTTGCCATTCTAGAACGTTCCAGGATTTCCAAAACCATTTCTAAAGCCCAGCTGTGGATACTGCCAGGTGAATGCCAGCCAGGAGTTTCCAAGTGCACATTCATAAACATATTTGCATTAAAGAATCAAGATACACAGGTTACATGTGCTTAACACCATGCCATCTTAGAACTCTGTCTAAGGGACTAATACTTTTTCCCCTAAAGCCCAGTATTGCATAACATCCTCTAATTGTTCTATGTTCCCAAGTACTGTGAAGCCTTGAAATGGTTCAAACATTAACTTTTATTAGGCAAAGGCAAAAGCAAAGAAAAAACAATAAAACATGCATTTGCTCCAGGAAGTGACTACGTGTGTCCTCAAGCACCAACACATTTATAGTCAACGACTGGTCATTGCACCCAGCACACCTCTATTGGAGATAGTAAGAACTGCCGATGCTGGAGTCAGAGATAACACAGTGTGGAGCTGGAAGAACACAGCAGGTCAGGCAGCATCAGAGGAGCTGGAAAGTTGACATTTCGGGTCGGGACCCTTCTTTAAAAAATACAGTTCCTCTATTGGAACTGTATGTCAGTTAAGATCTATCTGGCTTATTGTGTTTCACACGTTAGCATGCTATTGTGCAGAAGGTGATGTTCCATGTGCTCAATACCCTCACTTTCATCGGTGGAAGATGCTGCTGCTCTTTCAGCTTTTTAGCATCCATCACATCCTGTTATGCGAAACGCAGCATGCTAGAAGCATCTCCCAACATGACTTGATAATTTCTAGTTCTGCAGCTTCTTTATGCCAGCCATCATGCTGCATTATTGCCTGATCAAGGCCAGGTGGTTGTGACTGATGACCCCCTCCCCTACAATACCATGCATCCTCCAATGCACTATCAACTCATCCCTTATATTTTGAGTTCCCTCTTTCAGAGTTATTGCTCTCTCTGTATTCCAACATGCTCTTCCCAGTCTCTGGAACTGACTTCCCCAACTTTCCTATCACAGGTCTGTGCCAATCCACTCGACTTTCACTGAATTTCTTTTCCCCTGGGACCGACTGCAGCCTACTCACTGGGCTATAATGATATAGACCACTGACTTTGACCATTCCAAGCAGCTAAGTGCTTTCTAGCCCCAGGCCTGATAGTGGACCACTCCCTTACTTACTAATACTGCTGACTGAAGGCCGTCTCCTTTGGCTTGGTTGGGGACTATGCCCCTTAGACTTTGATACATGGGTACTTGGTTGAAGCACATGCAGTGCATTTACCGTGTGTGCTGCTGGCACATGGTGTAGGCATGAGGTTGACATAGCTCAGTGCCATATTGCAACATGTCCACTCTCTTTACTGTTCATTGCTGACAGCCCTGTTAAGTTGCATGGCTTTGTGTCTGTGCTAAAAGACGAGTCTCGACGGATGTGCTGTGAGCATTTAAGCCCTGGATGAGAGGGAAGTGTGCAGAAAGGCAAGGTGATGCAGGGGTGCTGACAGCATCCAAATACCACAAAGTGAGTGAGCACTAAGACAGCAAACAAGAAGGACTGAGGTACGCTCCGGTTGAATCCACGAAATGTGAGCAAAATGTCCTGGCAGCAGCATTCTAAATGCAGGGCAAAATGCAGCATTTGCATGCAGAACTGAATTGTAAGTGGGTCAGGGATGGGCCATGAGCATGCACTGAGGATAGTACATGTCCAATGCCAACCTCTGTGGGCATAGGATGCAAGCAGGCACTGCCCATGGTGTGTGACCTGAGATGTTGGTGACTGTTGTCCAAGATGTAGTCATCAGGTGCCCTTTCAGGGAATTGTCACAGTCCAGTCTCTATCCAGCAGGAAACTGAATATCAATGAGGTGAGATTAGGTATGCTAATGCATGCAAATAGATGCACAAATAATTCTCTCGCCAACAGTAAGATTCACATCTTGCAGCTCAAAACATCATTGGAGAATCTCTCCTCTTTTCTTTTGTGCTGAGAATCTCATATTTCTCCATCTCACCCTTGAAATAACTCCACAGAGGCTGTTATCCCATCACCAAGTCACCCTTTATTTACATGTGGAGAGCCCTTGACATCAATCCAGCTCCTTCAGAGCCAGCTGGCAGAGTGAACAGGATGTCTGACACTCCTGTTCTTATCTGTCAGGCAGGGCTCTCTGATTGACTAGATTAACAGCCTCAATCAGGGAACTCATATTCCTTGAGGTCCACCTGGCTAAGCTTGTTACAATTACTACAACCCTATTTTCCCAAATGAGTCACCAATACCGGCATTACGCAGGGGATGGGAAGGTTGTACCCATTTTTTCAGATTAACAAACTATTCAGTCTCCAAAATATTCAGCATTCTTTGAACCTCTGCTCTCAGGGCATCCCAAGATCACATTAAATGCCATGCACTATTACATGCTAGCCCTTAACCCTCTCTTCAGTAGATCCAAGCAGATATAATTGCATCTAAATGTTTGTAAGATAGAATGCGTTATTTATTAATTATTAACATGATTTTCTCAGTGAACACCTGCTTCTTCCTGAAATACCCAGTAGGGTGTAACTTTCTAGTTACTATGGCAGAAATAGTTGGTGCATTTTGACTGATTAAACAGTAATCAATCTAAACTTCGACTGTTTTATCAGGCAGGTCACAGTTGGAAAACACTACATGATCGATGCTCCCATTTGCAGTGTCTGGACTTAATCTTGCAAGGTTTTCTGAGCAGAATTCATTTAGCAATTAACAAAAAAAAATGCAAAGACTTAAAAGTAATGGCATTCAAAAAAAATACCCATCGCAAAGAATTTATGACCGGAATCTGTTCCAAAATCTTGTATTTTCAGCTCCCTCCCTATCCCAGAGAGACTTCATAGCCATAATACTTATCTGCAGATCTAAGAATACGTTTAATTTTAGTGCTGACAGATATAGCCTGTAAAAGTTTGCTTACACTTGTGCAGATAAAGAGAACATTGGGAATGATAGATAATTTAAAATAAGCTATCAAAACATGTAACAACACCATTTTGAATTGAAATCTAAAAAAAGAGAAATAGTTGGAATTATCCTTCCCAATGTAAAAGAGTGAAAATAAATCTGCCTAATTATCTCATACCATGAAAAGGGCCCACCATTCTGATATCTCTTGTCTTGTCTACTGCAATAATGGTGCCATTTTTATAAGAAACAAGCCAGAATTTGAAGTCAAGTAGGAAATAGCAGGTACAGCTCTTCTCAAATTCTGATGATAAAATGGCTGAGTGCTTGCTTTCTGAAAAGGCTCCCCTTCCATTATAGTCTCACATAACCCCTTCCATATCGCAAACACACTTGGACATAATTGACAGGACAAGGTTCAAAGCTGTCTCCTATTAATGACTCCATTTATACTGAAGTCACAGTCAGTTTAAGTTACTCTAATGAAAGGAGATGGCAAGTTACCCAGATGACATGTCAAATGAGGGCACAAACTTTGTCTGAGGCACCACGGAAACAGTTAGAAAAAGTAGTTATACTATAAATAAATGCAGTTAAAGTTTTCTTTCAATAGCTTCTAGTGAAAAACCTTTTCTTGTCACAAATCTGTCATAAGTCTTTACCCTGTGGTTCATTGTGGGCATTTGTACATTTGTCTTTATGTTGGAACCAGAAGAACAAGTGAGAGAAACAGACTGAAGAAGTTTGTACCCAACTTCTAGCACTATACACTCAAAAGTCTACACACCTGAGGCAGAAAGTAGCAGTCATAATGTTCGTTCAGTGGTACCTTAAATACAAAGACTGGGGAAGAATATAACACGGTACTTGCTACCTGATGTGGGAGAACAAACATTTCTGCCGATCCACCCACATGCCCCTGTCACCGTTGCTTGCCTGCAGAACCTCTAGATTGGTTAGTACATTTAAAATATGTACTTTGGCAGATTATGCTCTTCCCAAGACTGCAAGAAACTAAAAAGTCAGGAACACAGCCCAGTCCATCACACAAACCAGCCTTCCATCCATTGACTCCATCTATACTTCCTGCTGCCTCGGGAAAGCAAACAATATAATCAAATACCCCTCCCATCCTAGTTATACTCTCTTCCACCCTCTTCTGTCAGGCAGAAGATAAAGATAGAAACAGATTCTAGCACAGCTTCTTCCCCACTGTTATCAGACTTTTGAATGGTCATCAAATTAATGTTGATCTCTCTCTCATCACCTACTCTGTAGCTGTAACACTGTATTCTGCACTGTTCTGTTACTGTGATGCATTCTGTATGGTACAATATACCTGCATAGCACAACAAACACCAACTTTCACTGTATCTCGGTACATGTGTCAACAATGAATCAATCAATGATTTTGATTAAAACAATGAAAAATGACTTTTGCAACAGTTGCACAGCCTGGCCCTGTCTCTCCTGAGTCACAAACAGGAAATGAAGGAGCTGGTCAATGAAATCACAACAGAATGACAACACAAAGCTATATCTGGCTATGTCAATTATTTACTGTCCTCAACTTGAATGTTCAACAATTGATGCAAGGAAGACCTACTAGTATCAATTAGATAATTTCACACCCTTAGCATCAGTGGTCTAAATGTTCAAAAGTCACTTTCCATTGTTGTAATCAAAATCATTGATTTATTTATTGTTGACACATGTACCAAGTTACAGTGAAAAGTGTTTTGCGTGCTGTGCCAGCATATTGTAAGAAGAAGCTGTTCTAGAATCTGTTTGTATGTGTATTCAAACTTTTATATCTTCCACCTGATAGAAGACGGTGGAAGAGAGTATAATTGGGGTGTGAGGGGTCTTTGATTTTGTTGTTTGCTTTCCCGAGGCAGCGGGAAGTATAGATGGAGTCAATGGATGGAAGGCTGGTTTGCATGATTAACTGGGCTGTATTCATGACTGTAGTTTCTTGTGGTCTTGGGAACAGCATGATTTGTCAAAGTACATATTTTAAATGTACGACCAATCTAGAGGTTCTGCAGATGGGCAACGGTGACAGGGACATGTGGTTGGATAGACAGAAAGGTAGCAAGCACCACGTTATATTCTTCCCCTGTCTTTGTATTTAAGGTACCACTGAACTCACATCATAACAGCTACTTTCTGTCTCAGGTTCTCTAAGATGGCCCTCAGTGCCTGTGCAAAAATGTGGTGATGTAGATCCAAAAACATCCTTCTTTTACAGCAAGTCACCTGGCTCAGGTGTCAGGGACTGTCTGACTGCAGTGTCTTCACTCTCCACTATCCGCTCACACTTGCACTCTCGACTCTTGTCACTGAGCTAATGCACGAAAGGGCGTCACACATACAAAGACACTGCAAAACGTCTCAGCAAAGCGAGTATTTCCCTTGGCTGCTCTGGCGAGGAAATGAAATTGCTACCATAATGGAGTCGTCAGGATCAAGGTACTCACTGTCATGTTCTTTACAGTGCTTCAGTAGCTGACCCAAAACAGCCACCCTGACCTGTCCAACAAAATCAGTTACAGAGACATCGAGGTTCTTCGGCTCTCAATTCCTTTTTGCTGGTTTCCTTGATCTGGTTGTTTACCTAACTGCACAAATTTTATATTACATTGCTGCAGCAAATAATACTGTTCCAAGTGTTTTCCAGTTACACCACCTACCATTCCTCCAACCTTCTACAACCTTCCCCTGCCAGCCCTGCCCCAACCCCATACTCCATTCTCCTTCAATTTCATACCTTTCTTCCATTCTGATATTTTCTGACTTTGTTCTCTTCAATGGTCCAATTTTTACATGTGTTACATCTAACTGGACTATGTTGGAGACAGCTCAGGCAATAAGTCAATATGTCAATAGAAATAGCCAGTAGGTTCCAGTAAGCCAGCAATGCTACCTGAAGACAGGGAGACATTCTGCTCCATCTTGATTCTAACTGTGCAAAACCACAATATATTGTATGATATCAAACCCGTGGTGTTTATATTCTTTAAGTTCTTTTACAATGTTTACTAAAATAGAAAAGTGTTATAGGGAGAGATATGACTCATGCATTATGACACATGCATTTTATTGATCATAATCACTGTGCTACATTTTGACTTGTGCAATATTAAGTCTTAGAAAATCAGTTGATGGTGAGATTTTATATTTTATATGTTAACTCTAATGTTGGGACAGAAACTAGTGAATCCCCATTAAAACTAATGCTGCCATTTTCTTTCATCGCTATTACTTTCAGTGGCTATGACGAGGAACACACAGCACCATAAGCAATAATGTCTTCTCAGTTGTATGACAGAAAAATACACACCGTTAAAGTTTAACTTAAAAAAAACACCTCTAGTTCTGTTCCTGACTTAATCAGTAACTTTTGAATGAAAGGATGGATGTGGACTTTCTGCCATTACTGATGTAGCAATGTTACATGGAAGGAATACCAGCATAACAGTGGTGTCCAGTTTACCAGGCAGAATGGATTTTAGTATTTAGCCTGCACTCCAAACAGTCTCATTACAATCAGTGATCACGAAGCAAAACTGTGGGTAAATTTAGAGGTTCAAGAAATGCTATCTATTAACTTTTATGAAGGGGAACAGGTAAGCCTTTTTAGTGGTCTATAGTTGCCGAAAAAATTCACACCTCAGCATGGCTTGTTTCCATATGCAAGTAAAACCATCACTGGATACCTATCAAAATATGTTCTAATTAAGCAGGCTATTTGGTACCTCCAAGAGCTAGGTTCATGTTCATCAGGTGGGGCAGAAATTAGGGTCACCCACACTTCTGACAGCATTATTACCTATGAGGAAAATCAGTCACAATATCTAATTACATTAAAATTAGGCTTACCGTATTTCATTTGCTGTTCTATGAATAGTACTTCCTCTTTTGATACTTCGAATCCCTGAAGTCGATAAATTTAACCGACCTTTTTCATGACTTTTAGTATCTGGGAGCATTGAGAAATGGCGGACAACATTTCGCCTTGCATGAAGGCTCTTGGTCCAATCTACAGGTCGGGACTTGCTTCTCAGCCTTCTTAAAGTCTGTGTGTTTTGCATATTTAGGAGATCTGGTTCACTTCGACTGCTTGCCACGCCTCTATAGAAGACTTCATTCTCACCCAGTGGACTTTGTGGGCCAGAATTTTTTCGATAGTATGATGGCATGCTGATTGTTCGGTTCCCCTTCACGCTGAAGGAGCTGAAATGGTTCTTTTGCAAGTATTCTCTTGGGATTCCTGTTGCATATGTTTCCGTGCGAGAACATTCTTTCATGGTACCATCATACTGTGAACCCTTCAAGAAAGAGAATATATGAATGCAACATTTTAGTTTTTAATGAGCAGTTTAAAAAATTCACAAATATATTTACTGTAGAGTTAAAGCTAAAACCTAGAATTGCAAGGAAAACAAAATAGCATTCTTAGTACAAAATACAGTTACGATCCATAGTGTTCCTACCTCTGGACCAAAAGACCTAGTTTTAAGTCCCATCTGCTCTAGAGCTGTGTAATAATATCTCTGGACAGGTTGATTAGAAAATATAATTAGGAGAGAGATATAGATCTATCTACCTAGAGATCTAAATTTCAACTTGTTGCATCCATTTTGTAGGCCTAAAATTGCAACAATTATCAATTTTGTGGCAGAGACCCACACTTAATCTACTTGAGAGTTCAGTCCACTTTGTGCCCCTTCTTTGAAGGGGCTTCACAAATGAATAAATATCAATCAAATTATAAAAGTCCTCAGCTTCAAAATCACAAAAGTACCGCACAGGAACAGGCCCTCCAAGCCTGTGCTAATCATCATGCCCTAACTAATCATTTGCTCCATATCCCTCTATTCCCTCCCAATTCCTGTAACCATCCAGATGCCTCTTAAATGTCACCAATGTGCCTGCTTCCACCACCTCTTCTGGCAGTGCGTTCCAGGCTCCTACCACTCTCCGTGTGAAAAAATTCCCTTGCACATCTCCCTTAAACTTTCCCCCTCTCACCTTGAACCTGTGCCCCCTTATAATTGAAACTTCAATTCTGGGAAAAAGCCTCTGACTATCCACCCTATCTATGTCTGTCATAATCTTGTAGACCTCTATCAGGTCTCCTGTCAGCTGCTGCCTTTCCAGTGAAAACAATCCTAGTCTCTGTAACCTTTCCTCACAACGAACGCCCTTGAGACCAGGCAACATCCTGGTGAATCTTCTCTGCACTCTTTCCAAAGCTTCAATTTCCTTCTGGTAGAATGGCGACCAAAACTGCACACAATACTCCAAGTGTGGCCTAACAAGGGTTTTATATAGCTGCAACATGGTTTCCCAACTCTTGTAATCCATGCCCCGGCCGATGAAGGCAAGCATGCTACGTGTCTTCTTAATCACTTGTGTCGCCACTTTTAGGGAACTGTGGACCTACATGCCCAGATCCATCTGTATGTTAATGTTCCTAAGGGTTCTGCCATTTACAGTATAATTCACACCTAAATTTGATCCTCTAAAATGCATTGCCTCGTATTTGTCTGGATTAAATTCCATCTGCCATTTCTGTGCTCAAGTCACCAATCTATCTATATCCTGTTGCATTCTTTCACAATTGTGGGCACTATCAGCAATTCCACCAATCTTTGTGTCATCTGCAAACTTGCTAATCAGGCTGCTCACATTTTCCTCCACCTCTTCAAAAAATTCAATCGGGTTGGTGAGACATGACCTTCCCTGTACAAAACCATGCTGCCTGTCACTAACTCGTCCACGTTCTTCCAAATTTTCATATATCTTGTCCCTCAGTATCTTCTCTAACAGCTTCCCCACCACAGACATCAGGCTCACTGGCCTACAATTTCCTGGATTATCCCTGCTTCCTTTCTTAAACATTAGATAATCTCCAGTACTCTGGATCTTTGCCTGTGGTCAAAGAGAATGTGAAGATATCTGATGATGCCCTAACTATTTCTTCCCTTGCCTCTCGCAGTAGCCTGGGATAGATCCCATCTGGTCCAGGGAACTTGTCTACCTTAACGCAATTTAGGTTACCCAAAACTTCCTCCTTCAAGATATTGACATTTTCTAGAGTATTTACACATTCATTTCTGATCTCAACATCGGTCATGTCCTTCTCCTCGGTGAATACCGATACAAAGTACTCATTAAGGATCTCCCCCATTTCCTGTGGCTCCACACATAACTTCTCTCCTTTGTCCTCGAGTGGGTCTACTCTTTCCCTCGCTACCCTCTTCCTTCTAATATATGCATAAAAAGCTTTGGGATTCTCCTTGACCTTGTTTGCTAAAGACATATCATGGCCCCTCTTAGCCTTCCTAATTCCGCATTTAAATTCCTTCCTACTTCCGGCATACTCCTCAATGGCTTCATCAGTTTGTAGCTGCCTAGACCTATCATATACTCCCTTTTTCCTTTTGACTTAGCTTACAATTTCCCTTGTCATCCATGGTTCCTGAATCCTGCCATTCCTATTCTTCAGGTTTGCAGGGACATGCATGTCCTGCACTTTAATCAACCGGTCTTTAAAAGCCTCCCACACGCCAGACGTAGATGTGCTCACAAATAACTGCTCCCAATCCATATTCCCCAGTTCCTGTGTAATGTGGATGTAATTGGCCCTTGCCCAGTTAAGCACCCTCACCTGAGGGCCACTCTTATCCTTGTCCACGACATGTCCATGGAGTTATGGTCACTAAGTCCAAAATGCTCTCCTACTGAAGCATCAATCACCTGTCCTGGCTCATTCCCTAATACCAAGTCTAGTATGGCCTCCTCTGTGGTTGGATTGTCCACGTACTGTCTCAAAAAGCCCTCCTGGACACATCTAACAAATTGCTCTCCATCCAAGCCCCTAGCTCTAAGGGAGTCCCAGTCAATTGGAGAAAAGTTGAAATCACCCACCACAACTACGCTGCTTTTTTTCACAGCTTTCCAGTATCTGACTACATATCTGCTCCTCTGTCTCCCACAGGCTATTGGGAGGTCTATAGAAAACTGCCAACATTGTGATTTCACCCTTCCTATTCCTGAGCTCCACCCATAATGCCTCAGTGCAAGATCCCTTCAATGCATCCTCCACTCAACACAGCTGTGATGTGATCCCTAATCAGCAATGCAACCCCATCCCACCCCTTTTTGTTTCCCTTTCTGTCCCTTCTAGAACAGCAATATCCTGGAATGTTAAGCTGCCAGTCCTGTCCCTCCTTTAACCATGTCTTCGTAATGACAATAACATCATAATTCCACATGGTAATCATGCTCTTAGTTCACCTGCCTTACCTGTTATATTTCTTGCATTGCAGTAAATGCACTCCAGACCTCCAGTCCCTCTGAGCCCTGCGACTTTCCTCTGCCTGCTATTACTCTGCATTAAACATATCTCAGTCTCTCTTTGTCCCCAATCCCTGCACTTACTGGCCTGTTGTTCCGGTTCCCAAACCCCTGCCACACTAGGTTAACCCTCCCGAAGACCTCTAGCAAACCTCCCACCCAGGATATTGATGACCGTCCAGTTCACGCACAACCTGTCCTTCTTGTACAGGTCCCATCTTCTCCAGAAGACATCCCAACGAGCCATATATCTAAAGCCCTCCCTCCTACACCAGCTCTGTAGCCACATGTTCAACTGTACTCTCTCTCTGTTCCTAGCCTCACTAGCCCGTGACACGTCATCGTCACACAACAGTGTATTTTGCACCTTTAACGCCTTTGATATACCTTCTACATTGTGGCACACTGAACTGACCAAAACACTCAGGCTGAGATATAACCAGTCTTTTTTTTAAATCAGGAGGTTTGCAAAACTACCTTGAGTAAAGTTTTGCGGAAGGGAGTTGGGAGAATGATATTTTGATATAGATTCTGTGTTGTGTGAATAATCACAATTCACGGAATAAGAGCTCTTAGTTTAACCCACCAGGATAGGCCAGAAATGTCCAAAATCAGCACTTGCTGAACTGCTTAAAATGTTCAATGCAAGAATTCTAAGTCAGTTACTGATCGCTAGAGAAGGACTCCAGGCTGAATCAACAGCTTGCCTTGGATCCTTCACTCTGTCTCCAAGTTGCTGGCTGGAAAGAAGCTACACTTTAACAGTCAGAAGGAAAACTGCTGGGCTCAACTCACCGAGAACACTATTGTTGAATGTTGACCTCTGGGAAATATCTGCTCATTTGAATTAATTTTTAACACCTCGATGTATAAAAACCTATTATTTATAATGTCTCTCTTTGCCTGACCCATGATCTTCAGTTTCCCCAAGTGCTTGTGTGTAGTGAATGAAGTAAAAACACAGCTCCCCTGTTTTTAATGTTTGGTTAATAAACTCTATTTTTTATTTTAAGTTAAGCTGCGGTGTTTATTTCAAAAATTATTTCAAAATCCAGAAACCAAGTTTTGGGTAACGCCCTTCAGCCCACCTCAGTAAGGAATGGGAGTGACAAGTGAAAGGAGTACATTAGACAATAATTTGCTAACACAGGTTTAAGAGGAGAAAAGCAAACATAATTAAAATTCACTCCTCTGTGTCACAGATAAAGATTTACTTATGGCTACACATGCTTTTTACAGCAATTTCTAGCTGTCATACCAATAGGACAAAAAGTTGAATGCTCTTTAAGGTTTGAGGAATTTGTTAAAAATCTACCTGAGTAATAGCATTTTAAATTTAACGAAGGTACATCATCACAGAATTTTAAAAACTCTGAAGGAGGTGATTTGATCCATTGTGCCAGCAACAGAAGCGCAATTGGAATGTGACTTCAAGTTCAATTAGGAACATCTATATACATCTAAGATTCTCCATCAGCCAAACAGAATTTAAATTAGAAACAGAAATATTCTAAATATCAAGACTGGACTGGTTTTCCTCTAATAGCACTTGTGTGTAAAAGATCACCAAGATAGAGAAAAGAAGCATATATCTGGCAATGCCACACCCACAGAGTCTGTCAAATGTTAATAGGTGAAATTTTGGGCAGGCTCCGTTTTGGATACGTGAGTGTTTCTGCCTCTAATGTTTTTCGAAAGTGTGCATCATTCAGGCGATCTCTTAAGCCCAGGTGTCGAAAGGAAGATCTTCCCTATTTAATTCGATTGCTCATCTGAAGGGCGCGGCATTGAAATATTGACACACCTTATACAAAAGCAATCAGAATATCTACAGCTAATATATAAAGTTCTGTCATAAAGGAAGTGCTCAAGATTTAAAACTGCTGTTTTCTGGCTGTCCAAACCCATCACTTTTATTTCCACTTTTCTTCTCCCCATTTTAAGGGAAAAAAAGCCTAAATGA